CTTAAGTATTAGCGCCTCAATAAAAATCAATAATGCTCAATGACATACCAGGTTTAAGCCCTGTTGATTGGTTGAAAATGACTGTGTTGTACTACACAGGAAGCAACTGTTGCCGTGGTTTCCACTGTTGGGGTGCAGAGTAGAGCGAGCTTACTACCTCACTGAAAGGTGGCTGCCCTGGGTCCTAAGCATTTGCTACAATTGAACTACACAACCCTCCCACCACAAATCTTTGAGATTTCATTCAGCTAAACATGCAATGACTCTGGGGCTTTCCAAAGGATGGGAAACGGCAAAAGCATTTCTCTAAAAACCAAGACAGATTGATTTAAAAATTGCCCCACGCAGACCTAGAAAAAAAGCAATCCATGTGCAGATAAAAGGTACAGTCTGCCCTCATTTAAAGGCAAAGGAGTTAAAAGGGGAATTGAGAAGGTCAACTAACCCTTCGATCTGTGACGACATGCACAAACACAACGCACAGTCCCTCACATAGCAAGTCAACCCCCCTCCCCCCTCCTTCTAGCCATTATCAACAGCATCCAAAAAGCTACAAAGTCTAAAAGTAGGTGTTCTTTTGCTACATCATGTCAAAGCTACATTCAACTACAATAGAAGAAGAGCTGGGCTGTGGCTGGTCTTAGTGTGAGAAATGAGGTGGATATGTTGACCTTATGAAAATGGAGAGCGTATGCATTGCAATGTTGGCAACATTGGCACAGTTTACACAATAGATGGCTTTTGGCACAGCTCACAGAAGATACAATGCTAGAGTTCACTACTCTCTCTTCAACACAAAGCATTTTGTATTCATATTGGTCAGCCAGAGCCAGGTGCTGTGGACTTAAACTCATTTATTACAATCACATGACCAAATTAGATGAAACCTATTCTACCTGTAAGAAAATCATTGAGGACGTGGAACATCTGACTCTGGCCGAAACAAATGATCTCATTTTAAACTAGAGAAAAAACAATTACAATGTCTCAGGTGCAAACAGATGTGCCATTGCATCCCTGTCACATTGAAGGTGGGAATATTGCTCAAAGTCAAACAGTCATCTGATAATCTTGATTACAGGAGTTATTACTGACTGCATTCAGTGAAGTCTCAGCTATTGTATATGCACCTCAAATTGGAACTCAAAACATTCACAGTATATCGTTCAGTCTTATTTGCTGAATGGAAATAGTCAAAGTACAAGATCATTTCCTCAGCACAAGTATCTGTGGTACTTTGTTATTGGAACCTTGGTTACAGTGAATTTTATTGTCCATAATAGCAACATGGATTAACATCAAGTGAATAGTTTTCCACATATCAGCAAAATATGTTACCTGTAGATTGTGCAATTACAACTGTGGCACGCATGTCTGAAAAATACAATGAAGAATTGTGCTTCATATAATCCATCGTCTACAAACTCTGCCAAGGTACAGTATAGTAGTGAAATACAATAATATCCTAAGAGAGCTTTTACAACACACTGCACTTGGTTTCAATCCCCCTTTAACTTCCTGTGAATAAATCCTGACTGGCCACTTTCATAAAAATAATAAAGTTCATAGCTGCACGCCCCTTGCTCTGCTTCATGTAGCTACAGTTATTAAACTCACCAGAAGCCTCTTGCACAATTGTCTCCAAAGCTTATTTGAATATTATGCAGCCATCTAGTGCCAATTACAGATATTACACCAATCATCCCCTTGATCCACTTACATGATGGTGAATTATGCGTTGTTCACATGTGGAAAGAAAAGATGGGGCTTTATCTATGAAAACAAATTACTTGAAAACCAATCTTGCCTGAAAGCTCTTGAGTGGAAATTTGGCACTGCTATTGAATCATTCCCACTTCCAACACTAGCCACATCCAGCCTCCTCTTTATTAAAACACTACCACAGTGAGAGAAATATATTGATAGAATAAAAAAGAGGGTGTGGGAAGAAAAGTCTGAGTAAGAAAGAAAAGAAAAGACAGACATAAAAGAAAATCTGCTACATGTCTTTTTTGTTCTTATTGTTATTTCTCTTTTAAAGTTCAGTTTGTTGTTCAAATACTCAACTGTGTTCGAGCTCTGGTTGGACCAGAGGTGACATGACAAGCTTCAACAGGGAGGAGGAGAAGTGGTTCCTGTTCAATCTGATTGGTTAAAAGGGTTTCTAGTAAAACATGACATCACGTAGATGGTCCTG